AGAATTTCGTAAAACAATACAAATGTAAGAGCTATAGTGACGAAATCCGGCTTGAGGGGGAGGGGTTTGGGGTAAGATAACCCTCACTTAACCCCAGTTCTCCCTCGCGCTACCCTGGAAAGAAATCTTCATCTGCCCTTGTCGTGTAGTGGTAAAGTTGAAAAGTAGAGTTGAAATTGAAATTGGAGTTGAAGGGGAAGGGTATTAGCAGATCTGAAATGAGTAAGAGTAAGGTGAGTGGTAGGAGGAAGTTTCAATAACATACGAATGGCTCTGTTCTAAATCTTCTGAACTTTAGATATGAGGTAGATTTTGATCCCCAAACTGAGCAACAGTAGTCAAGGCGAGAGAAAAACAAAGAATTGTAAAGTATTTGAAGGGTAGAGTCGTTAGTAAATTTTGAGGTTCGTGCAAGAAGATAGACAATGGAGTGTTATAATTATGCCTCAGTGTTTGTGGGACGTAACGGATAGAATGTGATGGTTATCAAGATAAAGATTAAGATTGTTATTAGCGGATTTTAGTTTGTGCGGAGAACCAAGTAGCATAGATTTAGTTTTTTGAATGTTAGTTAGCTTGTTAGATTTTAACTATGAAGATAGAAGATGAAGGGTAGAGTTTTTGTTCAATAATTTTAACAGAAGTATATAGGCTTATATACATACATACATATATATATATATACATACATATATATACATATATATATATACGTATATATATTTATGCATATATATACATATATATATGTTTATATATATATGTATATGTATATACATATATATACACACATATACATATACATACATATACATATATATACATATACATTTATACATATACATATATTTATATATACATATATCAACATATATATATATATTTATATATATATACATATATATACACATACATATATACACACGTATATATACACATAGGCCTACATATACATATATATATATATATACATATACACATACATATAGACATACGTATATACATATACATATATAACAGGGGTGGATGAGTGGGCAGAGGCCGTATACCGTATAAAAAATAAAAAAAAGAAAGAAAAAGAAAAAAATGATAGCACAGAACGCCTCAAATTTTATCTCCCCCCCCCCCACCTTTTGGACATCTTACCTGCTTTTGTTCTCATTGTGGCACCAATGCCTCTAATTAATTCCTTTCCTCCAGACGCATACTTTTCGAGGCTTTTTTTCTTTTCCCTAACCAACTTTGTTACTTTTTTTGTAAAAAAAAAAAAAAAATAATTCATTATTTTCCTTGTTAGACTTTAGCATCTCATCAACATTAGTAACAGGGAAAGAGGAAATTTCAGTAGTCTGGATCTAGCTATTACTAAATCAACACAAAATAAAAGACCTTATATCACTTGTGAAAAAAAGTTCTACAACAATCGCCAAAGGATATGGCTTATACTACAGAGCTGGGTTACTTGCCTGTCAAAATTATTCGCGACCCCCCAGTCGCCCCCAAAAAATCACGGTCAAGTAGTTAAAATCCCTAAAATCACCATATTTTGCGAATTAGCGCCCGTCAACTGATCATCTAGCTCCACTTCACCTTCGCGCCTCCCCCATTTCAAGACTTATAGATACGCCTGGCCCCGACCCCCCCTCCCCCACCGTCTGTTTGCTCGCTCCGCTCGCAAACTTAACGCTCACCTAACTCACTTATTAGGGGGCCCCAATATTAGTAAGCGCCAGGGCCCCACAAACTCCGTGACGCCACTGCACACAATCACCAAACTAAAACACCATTACAATACAGTATATAGGAAACAAATGTAAATACAAATACACTGATGATGGGATACGGTATTGTCAAAATATTAATATTTTAGAATGATGTTTTACCTTTTACAAATGACTTGGCGTACCCGAACACTTCTTCGACAGAATCCCCTATTACTGTTAAGAAATAAATAATAGTAGGCCTGTGTTATGGATAATAAGAAAGGTTATGTGATAAATATAGGCCTATACAGTTAATTAGACAATGTGAAATAAACTATGTAGAAAGTGGAACAAGCATCTTCATATTCATTCCCTTTCCAGACATACAATACTCTATTGTTATTTGAATGTTAGACATAGAGAAGTTGTTATTGGAAGCTTACCAATAGTTACTTCCACTCTGTCCTTGTGTAGCTGTTTAAAATGCATTAAGACGTCGTCGAACATTTTAGCTGTCTCCAAATGGATCTTCGTTTCTTTCTTGTATTCATCCAGTAGATTTATTAAATCGTCAGTGGTCTTCGCTTGACTTTTTAAATATGCCTCAGATTTTGCTTCGGCTCTTTTCATCAATTTATTTGCAGCAAATGATGCTCCAATATTTGTTGCTCCTCCTGCTACACCGAACGCAGAACCACCAGCTACAATTGCTCCTTCCAAAAGAAGACCACCAGGGATTAATGCCGCTGCTACCGTTGCTCCTATAACAAATGCAGCTCCTACGACGGACACTGAAGAACCAACTACTTTGGCGATGTTAGTACCCTTTCTGTCTTTGTCCATCTCATCTGCAATTTCTCTCAATTTTTGAATTGTATCTATCCTTGCTTTTTCCCATTTATTGTAAACTTCTTCCAGATTATCCTTATATGTTGCATCCTTCAAGAGCTCCCTTATGTACCTTCCTGCAATCCTCTCTTTCTCAGACTCGTCCACTTCTCGGATGATTAACATTTTGATAATGGGCAGAAATGGAATGTGTTCTTTGAATTTACCAAAACACATCCTATGAATTAAAAATGTTACAAAACATGTGATATAAGACACCAACGTTTACAACTTTTTGTTAAAAGAAGTTGAAGACTAATTTGGTTGCAAGTATACAGTACTAACTAATGAATTTCACATTTGCGAAAGGTTGTGGCTCATGTCTGTTAGCGATCGGTCTGGGTTCTAATCCCCCAAAAAATAACATTTCGTCAACTACAACAAAGGCAAAATGATGAATTATATTCCATTTCATTACATTGGAATCTTATATAGATAAATCGATAGAAGTTTTCATACTTGCAAGTTGATTTGTTGTCGTCACTAATTACAAAATCAACCAAGGTTACTGTGGACATTGCAATTGTATAGGCTTTTGTAGGAATCGCATCAGGATCCTTTAACCAGGCTCTGACTTTCTCCACCTCGTCTTCATTGCCACCACCTGCTGCAACAAGTTCAAGGATTAACTCTGATATCTTGGGCTTCCAGAGGTTGATCCCAGTTTTAATTGATCTACTTTCTTCCAAAAGTACCTCTTGTTCTTGCATGGTTCGTATAGGTTATACACTTGTCTGTCTTGTGAAATCGACAACTGGGGCACAGTAAAATACAGAATTTTTCAAATAATAGACATACATGATTAAATTCAACCAGATTCGTCATTCTATTAATACACTAAACAATAAATCAACACATTAAAACAGTCTACTACAAGACAGTTTCCATCTAAGCCTACATAATAACGATATTGAAACACAGCCAAAGGTGGCGCCAGTTAGAGGGGAGGCCATCTCCCACCCCCCGTCGGAGTGAACCCCCATCGGGGAGAAAAAGCACAATTCGTCGGGGAGAAAAACATTATGTATTTTCTACATATTAGTAGACTCTAAAATCGAATAAATAAGCCTTTCGAAACCCCTAAATTGTCAAAAATTTCCGGGTGATTCCATGGACCAATTTCGAAACCTTTAAATCGAAGCTCGACCACACCCATTTTGCTTCCGTCAGGGAAATCTGACTCCTCGTCGGGGGGAATCGGCCCCCACCCCTTCCCCTCCCCCTCCCCCGTCGGGCAAACAGGGGCGGATCCAGAAGTTTTGGTTAGGGGGGATAAGACAATGAAGAGGGAGAAAACAGTTCCATAATAAAAACATTGTTGTCCCTAAAGGACTCTCTAAGTAGAACCTCAGACGACAAAAGAATTCTCCTTAAAATATGTTTTAAATGTAGTAGTAGTGCCTATATATATATACATATATGCATGTATATATATTTATATATCATATCATATTATATTATATACATAATTATTTAATAATAGTTTGGGAGGAATAGAATAATATAATTGTACAATGTAGGTTTTGATATTTGAAGAAATAGTAGACACCATTAATAAATAAATAAAACATTCATCGAAGACAATGGGTTTATCAGGCAAAGCCTCCGTGGGTGGCTACGAGCATAATTATCAATGATTTCATCTATGTCTAGCTCTATGTCTCTGTGAATGTACAATAATATCAGAGCGTAAAATCGATCTTCACCCATGTATTATACAAACGTTGAAACCGCTACACAACGGCCTTTGCTTCGAGATTTGAGCATGAAGGCAAGGCAAAAGCAGCTTTCTTAGCTACGTTTTTTGTCCGCTGATCGGTTAAAAAACGTATTTCATTTTATTTTTTATCACTGAAAAACAACTACTGTAAAATGTTTAGCCCATAAATATGATGTGTGTGAAAAAAACATTAAACAATATTTTAATTTGGACCTTCAAAAAGCAGTTAAAAAGAAATGGCTATGAAATTTTAGGGGGTGGAGCTAAAGCCTGTTTAGCCCCCCCCCTGTCTCTTATACACATCTAGATGTGTATAAGAGACAGCCTAAACACAGCACCAATAGCATTTTCTAGCACACACGTCCTCAAGTTGTGTCCAAACCTTTTTAAACTGACTGAAAAAATACTCAAGTTGTGTCCAAACCTTTTTAAACTGACTGAAAAAATAAAATCCATTTTAGAATAAATGTTATCAGTTATTTTTAAACGTTCAATGACTTAAATTTCATACGATTACTCCAAACGGTCAGCACAGCCGAAAGTTTTATGCTTCTGCTTCTTGTGTTAGTAGGGTCAGGTGGCAGCCAGGATTTTTAGAAACAGATTTATGGAGGTTTACAGATCCAGAATCGAAATCCCATAAAAAAAAAAACCAGCGAATTTCTGTATACCTGGCCCTGGGGCACATGTAGGATTTTTCAGTGGGGGTGCGAGCGGAGCCGAAAAAAAAACTGCAGGGCGTTGGGGCTGTCTAAAGCACCCGAAGTTTCCAGGAGCCTCAACAGTCACGAAACAATTTTACTTTTTTGTTAAGAAAAAATGTTTTCTAGTAGAATTTTATGAGGTTTTTCTCGACGTCAAAAATGAGCAGACTCATCCTAAAATTTATCTTTACTTTTCGGGAAATATTTGTTCATTAAAAATCGTTAGGAAAATAATTTTACCCCCGACGTACTCTACTTTGTTTTCCCTAGCAATAAGAGATTATAGGGTTACCTTTGTGATAAGCGATTGAGATTGTTACGCTGTTCTTCGAAAAAGCAGTCACGAATTAGAAGGGTATTCAAATTATAGGGGCACTGTATTGTTTTTACGGATTTCAACACTTTTTATAAATACTGTGCATCAGATCTACACACTAATATACAACATAACATATACGGTAACGTTTTGTCATGGGTGAACCTAGACGACAAAACACCTTCCCACAAAGCACGTCATGTGAATACTGTACATGTTTCTCTCATTTAGGTCAACGTACTTTACCGTTCATGGTCTCAGGGTACAATGCACTATAAAATGCTTTTTAAAATTATGAATATAGGCCTATATATACATTTTATGTAAGGTTGTTTCATTTAATTTATTTCGTCCAAAGACATTACAATTGACAAACTCAAGATAACAGAGAACGAAAAAACAACACTCAGTTGGCCGGACAGGATTGTTGTCTAGTGGCTCTCCGATGCCGATAAGAACATAAAATAAATTAGCATAAAATGTCAAGTAAAATCAATAATTTTAAAATATATATGTACAAAATCATCAGTGAAATCGGTTAAGTTTTATGCACCGTTGCAGATAATTTACTCTAGCACTGCTTGGCTAAGCCAAAATTAGTCCTGGCCGGACCAACATTATTATATTTGGCGACCAAAATCGGGCCCCGGGAAAATTTTAGCGACTAAAATCGGTCCCCCGGACCAATATTGGCAGTGGCCTGCCAATTTTAGTTAGACATTTAATTTTAAATCGTTACCTACATATGCATTACTTTTAGGACCTAAAAATCCCGAAAAGACTCTACTCGTAGTGTAATGTTTAACAGGATCCTGTTGAAACCACAAGTGTGAATAAGCCCATAAATGTAATAACCACAAATGCAACAGCAGCGCCCAGAAATGTGATAATGCCCACAAATGTAACAAAAAATGTAAGTTTTCTTGAATTTCCAAAAGTTTGTTGATTGGTATATCCAATCCAAACTTTAATTATCGCGGTAACTAGAGTAAATTACCTGATTAGTGAAATATTAATTTCTCCTTATTTGCATTAATTATGCAAATGATCAATTAGCATATTCACACATGTACCAAAAACTATAGGCTCTGTCTTACCACCATCTTGCATTTTACCAAGTTTAAAACCAATCGGAATTACCAAACTTTAGTTATCGTGGTTACAAGGAAATGACAAACAGCGACAACATGAAGAACATAGGCAAAAACAATAGCTTAGCTCATTTGGGAGGCTAATAAGCATGTCGTATTGGAGTTTAATTTACAGTATATATTTTGTAAGAGGGTTTTCAGAGACAGAAAAGTCATTAAGATCTTTGTTGATGGCCATAGTAAACGTATATATAAACGCGAGTATTGGGCAAAAGGGTAACATTTTACGGGGGTGCGGTTCAAGCCTTAAAGAGTGCAGCGAGCTACTGGGCCAGCTGAGGACCAGGTGGCCGACAAGGCTCCAGTTCCGGGTCCATTAACAATCATTTACTAACAATAATCGGGATTTAAAAAAAATTTATTTGAGTGGGTAAGGACCCCTCGCTTCTCTGGTTGCGCTCTTGGTCCATCAGTCTCTCCTTCCAATAAACAGTAATGATGCATGGTATTTTGTATGGTTTAATAGGGGACTTAATGTTTTTTTTCCCTCAAATTTTAATGTACTCTACTGTACAGTACTCGCCCAAGGTTCAGTAATTGGTAGAACTAAGGCTCTTTGGAATTGTAGGGGATGGCAGTCACCGACCACGCCAATATGCAATTTAACACAATGACACCGCTGCGAGTTATACCGTTACCATCACTGTAGTTCCCCAGCCAAAAAAAAAAAAACGGAATTAGCAGTGTTAGTTCTTGCACATGAAGGACATGGGAGGAGAGGGTTACTAAACAGTCACAAAGAAGATCCACAGATTAATCTCCGATAAGATGGTACAATACATACTCCCAAGTATCGAAATGCACGCCATCGTGTCGGGATTCAATATTTTGACATTAATAATTACAGTATGTCATCATCAGGTATGTATTACAGTATACTGTACTGCATACATTAGATCAGGTTTTAAATTCTTAAAAATTATACTGTACTGAAAATCTAAACCAAACTTTTTACTTCACGGCCTATTTACGATGTCAGGCCCAGCAGTAGTACAACCGCGCCAGGGACCAACATACCAAATCCTGGCAAAATTTTGATCATGAACACGCATCATCTGGCACTTTAGCAGCGTGTAAAAGCTGCGCAGTCGCTGTAACAATGAAGCTGTTTTATTAAAACTATTTTCTCAATGATGAAACGTATCTTTGTTATTATATTTTTGAAATTCTAAGACTTCTTCACGGCGCTCCGAAATTGTTTCGCGGCCCAAATTTCGATCTAAACTACAATTTTGATCATACTCACATTTAAAAGCAGTATTCTAAGTTAATATTTTCTGCCCAGCATCTCTCCTAATAAACAGTAGCCTAATAATGATGTAGGCCCATTGCACAATAACATTGCATGTTATGGTTGATTTATCAATCTCAAAGCAACTTGAATATGTATTGAATAAATATAGAACATGAATGAACTGGTCGAAGTTAATTGAAGAACAACAAAGAAATCCCAATGGATAAAAATGCTATTATGGTGTGCTTCTGGAGAAGCACACATAATAGCATTTTTATCCTTTTGCTTAGTATGCATTTGTTTATTTATCAATCTTGTATATGCCAAAAAAGTAAAAAATTGTAATTGCACTTCTCAAGCTAGATTGTAAATCACTATTACAGACCTATGTATTGTAAAACAATAAATACAACTATTTGCCTATTTGCATACATTGAATTCTGAAAATCAATAGTGTAAATGTAAAACAAAGTAGAACAGTCATTGGTTATTGATAGAATCTATATTTAAAGCCTGTTAGTATATCACAAACTGCCTGCCTTGGATCCTGTATGCACTACATCACATTGTGAGTTGAGTACTGATAGAAAAAGATGTTGCTTCTGTATGTTATGACCAGATAAAAGCACCTTGACATGCATATGTAGACTAATAAAATTTGCGTCTGAATTTAAATTATTGTATATTAGAAACAATCATTAAATACTAGTGGCCTTTTTAGAGGGTTGTGTGGATTCAGTGTGGTTCCAATACCGAACATTCTCCAAGCGGCATGGTGGCGTTCAGACACGACCTTTTCCTCCTTCTCATTGAAGTTCTTGCCTCCGAGGCTTCAGTAGCCGAGGCAGTTCTTCGCCCGTCATGTTACATTTTTTGTGATTTATGTTGGCCTCCACCGGTTGCCGGTGCTTATCTGGCATTTATCGAGGTAAGTATTCACGAAATAGACTAAACAAATCAGTAGTGATGTTAGTCTATGAGTGAGATGCTTATCTGGATAAACGCCCTCTCTCCTCCCTCGCCGAAATCTGTTATAGTCTCGAAGTCAAAAAGGATATCGTTCATTCACGCAGGGCGTATATAGGCGAGCTAGGACGAGTCCATTATTTTTCTTTTATGCTCGAGAGGTAAGTTTTAAAGGAGATCATAATAAAACTACTAAAGAGTACAATGTTAACTTGGCTTTATTCAAGTAAATTTAAAAACCTGATTTAAAATTTAACTATTATTTAGTATGAACATAATTAAAATACAGTACAGTACGGTATATCTTCTAAAATATTTGTATTTCCTTTATATAGAAAAATAAGTATTCTTTTTAATTTTACTGTACTCAACGAAATCTGAAAAAATTTAAAATAAACAAATTAACTGTAAACATTACTTGAGTGCTTCCACACCAATAGAATTATGAAATTATAATATATTTAATTATGTAATATTTATGTAATATAGCAATTTACTGTAAATTGCTAGTTTCTATCATCCATACTTAAATTTTAAATTTAAATCTGGAAAATATTTTCAATAAACCGATTATTATTTATACACAATTCTAGTATTTTTTACACATTCTGTAATAGAACCTGTCTCTTATACACATCTAGATGTGTATAAGAGACAGGTCTTACCACCATCTTGCATTTTACCAAGTTTAAAACCAATCGGAATTACCAAACTTTAGTTATCGTGGTTACAAGGAAATGACAAACAGCGACAACATGAAGAACATAGGCAAAAACAATAGCTTAGCTCATTTGGGAGGCTAATAAGCATGTCGTATTGGAGTTTAATTTACAGTATATATTTTGTAAGAGGGTTTTCAGAGACAGAAAAGTCATTAAGATCTTTGTTGATGGCCATAGTAAACGTATATATAAACGCGAGTATTGGGCAAAAGGGTAACATTTTACGGGGGTGCGGTTCAAGCCTTAAAGAGTGCAGCGAGCTACTGGGCCAGCTGAGGACCAGGTGGCCGACAAGGCTCCAGTTCCGGGTCCATTAACAATCATTTACTAACAATAATCGGGATTTAAAAAAAATTTATTTGAGTGGGTAAGGACCCCTCGCTTCTCTGGTTGCGCTCTTGGTCCATCAGTCTCTCCTTCCAATAAACAGTAATGATGCATGGTATTTTGTATGGTTTAATAGGGGACTTAATGTTTTTTTTCCCTCAAATTTTAATGTACTCTACTGTACAGTACTCGCCCAAGGTTCAGTAATTGGTAGAACTAAGGCTCTTTGGAATTGTAGGGGATGGCAGTCACCGACCACGCCAATATGCAATTTAACACAATGACACCGCTGCGAGTTATACCGTTACCATCACTGTAGTTCCCCAGCCAAAAAAAAAAAAACGGAATTAGCAGTGTTAGTTCTTGCACATGAAGGACATGGGAGGAGAGGGTTACTAAACAGTCACAAAGAAGATCCACAGATTAATCTCCGATAAGATGGTACAATACATACTCCCAAGTATCGAAATGCACGCCATCGTGTCGGGATTCAATATTTTGACATTAATAATTACAGTATGTCATCATCAGGTATGTATTACAGTATACTGTACTGCATACATTAGATCAGGTTTTAAATTCTTAAAAATTATACTGTACTGAAAATCTAAACCAAACTTTTTACTTCACGGCCTATTTACGATGTCAGGCCCAGCAGTAGTACAACCGCGCCAGGGACCAACATACCAAATCCTGGCAAAATTTTGATCATGAACACGCATCATCTGGCACTTTAGCAGCGTGTAAAAGCTGCGCAGTCGCTGTAACAATGAAGCTGTTTTATTAAAACTATTTTCTCAATGATGAAACGTATCTTTGTTATTATATTTTTGAAATTCTAAGACTTCTTCACGGCGCTCCGAAATTGTTTCGCGGCCCAAATTTCGATCTAAACTACAATTTTGATCATACTCACATTTAAAAGCAGTATTCTAAGTTAATATTTTCTGCCCAGCATCTCTCCTAATAAACAGTAGCCTAATAATGATGTAGGCCCATTGCACAATAACATTGCATGTTATGGTTGATTTATCAATCTCAAAGCAACTTGAATATGTATTGAATAAATATAGAACATGAATGAACTGGTCGAAGTTAATTGAAGAACAACAAAGAAATCCCAATGGATAAAAATGCTATTATGGTGTGCTTCTGGAGAAGCACACATAATAGCATTTTTATCCTTTTGCTTAGTATGCATTTGTTTATTTATCAATCTTGTATATGCCAAAAAAGTAAAAAATTGTAATTGCACTTCTCAAGCTAGATTGTAAATCACTATTACAGACCTATGTATTGTAAAACAATAAATACAACTATTTGCCTATTTGCATACATTGAATTCTGAAAATCAATAGTGTAAATGTAAAACAAAGTAGAACAGTCATTGGTTATTGATAGAATCTATATTTAAAGCCTGTTAGTATATCACAAACTGCCTGCCTTGGATCCTGTATGCACTACATCACATTGTGAGTTGAGTACTGATAGAAAAAGATGTTGCTTCTGTATGTTATGACCAGATAAAAGCACCTTGACATGCATATGTAGACTAATAAAATTTGCGTCTGAATTTAAATTATTGTATATTAGAAACAATCATTAAATACTAGTGGCCTTTTTAGAGGGTTGTGTGGATTCAGTGTGGTTCCAATACCGAACATTCTCCAAGCGGCATGGTGGCGTTCAGACACGACCTTTTCCTCCTTCTCATTGAAGTTCTTGCCTCCGAGGCTTCAGTAGCCGAGGCAGTTCTTCGCCCGTCATGTTACATTTTTTGTGATTTATGTTGGCCTCCACCGGTTGCCGGTGCTTATCTGGCATTTATCGAGGTAAGTATTCACGAAATAGACTAAACAAATCAGTAGTGATGTTAGTCTATGAGTGAGATGCTTATCTGGATAAACGCCCTCTCTTATACACATCTAGATGTGTATAAGAGACAGGGATTGTTGTCTAGTGGCTCTCCGATGCCGATAAGAACATAAAATAAATTAGCATAAAATGTCAAGTAAAATCAATAATTTTAAAATATATATGTACAAAATCATCAGTGAAATCGGTTAAGTTTTATGCACCGTTGCAGATAATTTACTCTAGCACTGCTTGGCTAAGCCAAAATTAGTCCTGGCCGGACCAACATTATTATATTTGGCGACCAAAATCGGGCCCCGGGAAAATTTTAGCGACTAAAATCGGTCCCCCGGACCAATATTGGCAGTGGCCTGCCAATTTTAGTTAGACATTTAATTTTAAATCGTTACCTACATATGCATTACTTTTAGGACCTAAAAATCCCGAAAAGACTCTACTCGTAGTGTAATGTTTAAC